ACCTTTATTTGAAATATCTTTATCTTAAGTTAGAGTTTTAGGTTTAATTGATCAAACCTAAGATTTAAAACTCTAACCTATGTGTTTAGGCATAATAGTAGTAGATTTACTATAAGTTAATATCAGTTTGTTGTCATATTTGATATTTTATTAATCAACAATATAGTGTAATCTAGTGTCCAGTTGATGCCCGATTGTTCGATTTTTTAATGCGCACATGCGTTAAAATTTAGACGATATTTTTTATTTAAGTTTGTTTTAATTTACATTTATAATAAAATTTGTGATATTCATTTGTGAAAAAAAACTTATAATTTTATATTAAATATGTAGTGAATTAGACACATAGTTAATATAATTACATTTAGTAAATATCTATGTGATAAAGTACCGATTGAAATAAACATGTATATGAAGATGTTGGATTTAATATTACATATAGATTTTCATAGAATAAAAATTAAAATTTGATTAATTTGATTAGTGTGTTGCCACATACTGTATCTTCCATTTGAATTTGAACAGAATCAATAATATTTTCTTCAACACACTAAAAAATATAAAATTATAGAATTCAAATAGATTATGGAGAGAATGAAAAGAATAACAGAGAAAAGTTGTAAGTAGAAGAATAAATAAAAAAAATATAGAATTCAAGAGAGAATAAATAAGATAAGAGCGAAAAGTTATAAGCAGAAGAATAAAAAAGAAAATAGAAATTGAAATGATTATGCATACTAACCAAATAATCTTACTTGTATGTTTATCTTCATTGTGCATTTTAATTATTTTACAGGTGATTGATCTGAAGTATTACTTCTTCTTTCTTTTAAAGCAAATATATACTAATCCAATAAACTTATATGTAAGTCTGGTGGCATGGCGTGGTTACATCACTTACATTATGGAAAAAAAATGTCATTATCTTTATAAAATTAAACAAACTCTATTTGTCAATTTTTAAGAATGTACCTAGCGGTTGTTAAAATAAACAGTATGATTTGGAAGTCAAAAAATTGTACATTAAAAGTTTAAAAAACTGCATAATAATTTAAAGATTTTAATTAAATTTAAACAAAACAGTTGAGAATATTTTAGGTATTAAAATCAAAGATAAATTTAAAATAATAAAAGAGTGACTCCAAAAACTTATATAATGCCCCTTAATTTTGAATGGCATTACCACAAAACAATTATCATCATGTTATACCTTTTATTAAACTTGTATTTCATGTCAATGTTAATTGTTTTTACATCTATTCATAGCCTTCTTATTTTTTGTATTATGTAGTTTTTTCGGTTATTTTTTTCTAAGCTAATTTTTAGTTTTTTTTAAGAGAATTTTTTACTCCACTCTTTGAGGTTCTTACGTATCATGTACGTTTTCAAAAATATTTCATTGTTTTCGGAGATATATCTTCAAACGCACTTTTTTTTTTACCTAATGTTAGTTTTTTCCAGAGTTACATCTACGAAAGGTTTCCATTTATACAACTCAGGAACAAATTAAAATACTTACGCGCTAGAGTTTCTTCTCCTCCCTTATTCTTCATTTTTCTTCTTATTCTCAAACTCTCTACATACTCTCTCAACTCAAAAAATCGTTTTCCACCAAACTTCATTATTTTCAATCAAATTCGACAAGGAGCGTTCATTTCAACGATCAAGAAATACCAACACATTCAAAGCTTGATATAATTGGTAAATTTTCGAGTTTCTGAGTTATTTTCGAGTATTTCCTGTAAACGAGTTAGAATATAGTTTTATGGGGAGAAGTCCTTAGATAGTTTTAGAAACATAGTTTAGAGACAATATAGGTATTGTTTGTTGGCTGAAACGAATGATAAGGGTTACAAAAATCACATTTGCATGGGTAGGGGATGATATTTTCGTAACCATTGAGTTGCAGGTTGTTCCGGATCTACATCTACGGAACAATTTAATGTTATGGTGCTTTTGTAGATGCAGCTCCAGAACAATCCAAACGTTGTAAATTATGGGTGATTCTGTAGATACATCTGGGTTTGTATATCCAGAAGTAGAAAATGTTAATTTTTTTGTTTTTTGCTTTTTAATTTAGTGTATCTAATTGTTTCTTCTTGGTGATTCTATTGTAGACATTATGACAGACAGAGACGGTAGATTGCATCTTGGACGGGGTTTTACAACATGCATCTCTGAGACGCGAGCGGAGCCAGGTCAACGTTACCCAGGCCTATATAGTCGAGGCACAGCCTACTGGACAACCTTTTTCATCACATGTCCAAGACACTCCCTCGACCTCGTATCCCACCCCATCATCGACTTCTTCATCCCGGAGGCGTCGAGATTCAACTGAGGGCTCATCACAGGCCCCGTCATCCCGCAGGCCCCGTTAGGATACTCATGTTCCTCATCCTGCCGATGATGTTGCTCTGGTGCCACCTCTAGAAGTTGATGACTCAGCAAAGGAGGATGTTGGTCACGACGACGATGATGAGCCTGAGGGTTTCCCAGGAGGTCCCTCAGATATGTCCCTGCTGAATGGGTATGTTGACCATACTGCCAGACATGTTTGGGATGGAAAGATAACATTACTCAGTTTGTTTCTGTTTTTCTTCATTGAAAATTTATAATTTTTACCATTGTTGATTACTGACATTGTTTCTTATTTATGGAAAATTTTCAGACTCATGAGTCGCAGAATTTCTACGACCATGGGCGAAAGATATCATCTTTGGAGCAGCCACAAGAGGTTGGGTTCCAGGATGTCCTTGTCGCCTCTGGTTTGAAGGACCTTTGTAATACCGGTTACAACCTGATCCATAGCGGGATGCTGATGGGATTTGCGGAGAGATGACACCGTGAAACGTCCTCCTTCCATCTACCACACAGCGAGCTGACTATTAAACTAGACGATATCTCATGTCTGTTGCATATACCGATCAGGGGTACCCTCACCCGTCATGGTAAGATGACGAAGGAGGAGGCAGAAGAGATGTTGATTGATGAGCTTAGGGTTGATCCAGTGGATGCGCTGAAAGAGGTAGATAAGACCAGATGGGCTCATGTGTGATTCTCCTTTCTGACACGTAGATTTCGTGAGGCGCTCGCTGCTGCACGCTAGGCAGATAATGATTCAGTTGAGGTTGAGATACACAGACAGCGTGTGTTAAGGTGTTATTTTCTATTTTTAGTCGGCACACAGTTGTTTGTGGACACTTCCTTCACATATATTGATGTCGCTTATTTGAGGTACTTTTTGGATTCCACACAGATCCATGAATACAACTGGGAGGCGGCTACCCTGGCTTACACGTACTTGAGACTGGGAAAGGGATGCATGTGGAAGACCAGGATTGTGGCAGGCAGCGTGTCACTACTTGTGGTAACTTTTTTTTTTCTTTTTTTTTCATTCTATATTCGTGATAATGCTTGATCCTGATATTTTTTATTTTCATTTCTGACTTGGATATTCCATCACTTTCCCATGATTTCCAGGTGGGGGAGTTACATAGAACAGATGTCGCGTGCTCGTGCCTTTATCCCGCTCAGGGGGAACCAGGCGGTCGACCCTTACAAAGTTTATGTCGATCGCCTGGTTGCTGAGGACATCCACTACGACGTCTATGCTGAACACCGTGGGACACACCCGTTTGACGACATATCACTATTCTCAGGATGGTTGGCATGCAGTTCGACCGTCATTTTTCCATATTTTTTGGAGCACGTCATGCAGCAGTTCGGGTACACACAGACGATACCCAGACGCCCAGTTGTCTTCACTCCTCTCAGCTTGACCCATAGGCAGATAGACGAGTTCTTTGCTGACTATCAGACGCACATGGTATCGGACGAAGCTCGGGCGACCAGAGGACCGAGAGACTGAAGTTGTGTTGATGGCTACATCATTTGGTTCTTCACTGTCTCACACTCATACATGGTGTCCACTGCAGAAGGATCACCGTCCAAACCAGCGCATCAGAAGATCTTAGAGGAGTATCAATCTCAGTTGGACCACACTCAGGATGTCTTGCCTTGTTGTCGTCAGATAGTGGAGATGGGGCGGGCAGGCATTACCGCTGGTTTCTTCCATGAGGGGTCTGACCACAGGCGTGTATTGGATGAGATCATTGAGGTGGCACAGAGGGCACTTATGTATCGCAAGCATCGCACCAAGACGAGTGAGATCGATGGCCGAAAACGCAGACCGGACGGTCGAGGAGGTGGTAGAGACAAACGAGGCGGCAGAGGCATAGGTAGAAGAGGAGACGCAGATGTTGTCAGACACATACAGTAGTGACTGTGATGTGTTTTTTGATGTATATATTTTGATGACATTTATATACTATTTTTTTTTATGATTATAATATATTACTTCTCATATATATATATATATTAAATAAATTTGTTCTGATAAGATTTCAGAGATGCATCTACGAAACTTTTTCTGTAGATGTGTCTCCGAAAACATCCAACATAAAAAAAAGAAATAGTGTGTCTGAATGTGTATCTTCAAAAACAAAAGACATAAAAGAAATTTCGCAAAGTTGATTAAGATACTTTTTCTTTTAAAAGATTAGTTTGGATAATTTCGTTAATTTTCTTCTCGAGCCCCACTCTTTACACATAAGAAAATGTTATTTCTCTATGCAGTAACACATGAATTGTTACAGAATTCATTTTTAGTTTTATTCAACTATCATATTCTTGTTCTTTCTTCAAGAAATCCTGAAAAGTAAACGTATTTTGGTAATGACTTTCTACACTCAACTTAATTATGTCCTACCTAGACTTAATCAACTATATTTTCATATAATAAAAAATTTCCAGTCTAAATGCAACTTTAGTTTTGGAAACAAATTAAATATAGACATATTCCATTGTCGCATTATCAATTTATCACGTGAACTCCAATATTCTCTTCTTTCCACCTAAATGGACAACAAAAAAAAACTCTTACTCTTTACTAATATCTGTTTCCAATCCTAAAGATCCACCCCAAAACACAGGTTCGGAAGATGGAGAAGCTGGTGGAAGTGTGCGAACCAGCTGAGGTTCGGATAGAATTCACACTCAACACCAAATGCCGAGCCACTGTACAACTCAAGTCACTTCACTCAACCACACCAATAGCTTTCAAAATCCAAACCTCATCACCCAACAAATTCCTGGTTAACCCACCGAGTGGACTCATTCCACCTCTCTCTATCTCCACTTTCCAAGTAATCCTCAAACCTCAACCCAATCTCCCTCGTTCTTACCCTCGTTCACCCTCCGACCGTTTCCTCATAAAAACCGCCGAGTTTACATCCAACTCGTCCGATTCGACTCATCCCGATTCTATCAACTCATGGTTCGCTTCTCGACCTTATGGATTCTCAACTTACGATATCAAACTCAAAGTAGCTTTTATCGGTTCGTTTCTTCTATGCGATGCCGTTTCTCGCGCTGATTTGGAAACTGTTAGGAGTTTGATTAAACGGAAGCGTTCTGTGTTGGCTGGTTTGTCTCCCGATGAGTCTAACTCGCTTCTCCGAGTGGCTTCCGAGTTAGATAACCCAGATGATATGGTTCATCTTTTACTTGAAGCTGGATTGAGAATTCACGAGACCGTTAGATCTGATAATTTCAAGCGTCGTGATGATGTACACGTGGCGGATGCGAACATTGTACAACACGTGAGTGCTTCACCACTTATTCACTTTTTGACTTTATAATTATAATTAGGATGTTCAAAATTAAACTAATCAAGATAAAAATCACAAGTAGATTCAAAGAAATTGAAAACCCTAAAAAAAAATTTGAATGTGTTTAGGTGGAAGATGAGGAGCATGGACAATTGGTGTTAGAGGCATCAAGGAATGGAAATGTGAGGGAAGTTGAGTCATTATTAAGAAGAGGTGTGAATTTCAACTACCGTGATGATTATGGTTTAACAGCGCTTCATGTTGCGGCATTTAAAGGGCACAAGGATGTGGTGTTAATGCTTTGTAAGGCGGGGTTGGAGTTAGAATGTGAGGATGACGATGGTCATGTGCCTTTGCATATGGCGGTGGAGAGTGGTGATTTTGAGACAGTTAGGGTTTTTGTTGATAAGGGTGTGAATGTTAATGCTATGAATAAGAAGGGTGTGACACCTTTGTACTTGGCTAGAGTTTGGGGACATCAGGATGTATGTGAGTTGCTTATTCGGAGAGGAGCCTTGTCTTCTCTTTCTCTTGCTTTAGCTTAAAATTGTACTACTTTTTGTCATCAACCATAAAAGTGTTTATTAATTAAAGTTGTTCAAGCTTAATAATAAGCCATTTTTCTTCTGGTACATAGGTGACAGTGATTGGAGTATGTATACTGTATGGGACATCAGTAGTAAGTAAGAAAAAAACCGGGTGGATCTATAATTTTTTTATTGACACGGGAATTTTACTATTTTAAATTTATTATTTTGATGAATTTCATTTTAAATGTTACTTCACGAGTCTCACCTTCTTCTTTTTTACTTTGAATAATAGTGATGGATCTTTCTTAAAATACTAGGGCACCAATTAAAATATTTGTTCTCATTGTATATGATTATGGTGAATTTTATCATAATTCTATCATGATAGTTTGAGAATTCCATATAACATAACCATAATAATGGTATTCTTATTCAAAAGGCACTTTAAATAGTTTAATCAATCTATTTTAATATTCATAGATAAACTATTTAAATATTATATAAATAATGCATTGAAACATTTTTCTTTGGATTTAGTCGATCTGACCCGGTTTTATAAGAGACCACTTTTTGAGAAAATCTAGTGACATGGTCAATTCGCTTATGCGTCGAGCATCTAATTTGTTGTGTTTCATTTAAGACTTTTCGTGTGTTCCACGTAATTGCATTATGTTGGATTGAGATTCTTGGTAATGTGTGAGTCTGAACTGTAATATTTATGATGGTTCACAACCCCTCAAACATGAGGTCTGTAGGACAAAACGATTAAGGAGAAATACGACAGTCCACAGCCTCCAAAGCACAATGGCTTGCTATTTCTAGAGTGATTTGTTTTTGACACTGCAAGTGTCTTTATCCACTTATTGAAATAATCAATGCCTTTAAACAAAAAATGTAATTGTCTTATGGTTAAGGAGAATGATCCCAGAATGCCAACTTTCCACATCTGGATTTGTCATGGGAAAGTTATTGAATGAAGGGTCTCGGTCGGGGTGAAAAATAGGTATGAGAGTTGTTGGCACTTATTGTATTTATTGACAAAGTCCAAGTTATCCCTCAATAAAGTTGTCCAATAGTATTCGTGTAAAGCCCAGTTTTATTTTAATTAATTGAATCATCGGATGTTGTATATTTGTGTGATCATGCATGTTTTGTTGTGTTTAGGGTACCCTTGGTGTGAGGTAGTAACTTTAAGACTAGACCTTAAGAAAATGGTTAGGGGTGTGTGAGCAATTGCATAGAGATGAGTGGTGTGGTTAGTAACTAAGTAGTAATATTAGTAAGTAATTATTTATTTGGATAACAATAGGTGATTATTATTTAAATTAGATAATTAGTATTATTACTATTATTTGTTATTATTTATTTGGGAAATAATAATATTAATAATTACAATAATAATAATAATAATATTGAGATTATAATAAGAATAAAATAGATATTAGTGAAAAAGGAGATTGGAGACATGTTGGTAATATTGTGAGGAATGATAAGGACATAAGAGGCAAATCATAAAAATGGTCCTAGGGTTAAACAAATAAATGAGGGAAGTAGAGTTCATTCTGTACGATCGTGATTTTGAGAAGAACAGAAGAAAGCTTAGGGTTTAAGAGGAAGAAGAATCCATCATCTGTGAAGGTTTAGAAAGCTTAATTTCGAGGTAAGGGTGGGGTACTGAGCTTCTAAGGGTTAATATGTTGAATAGTGGGTTGTTCTATGATATGCTTTGGTTGACTGATTGATATACGAAGAATGTTGTTTGCATAATTGTGTGATAATCTATTTTGGATTGTTAATGAATTTCTCCATTGTTGAGGTTGAAGGTCTGAGTCGAAAGTATGAATTGATGATGATAGGGTGTTAATCTATGAGTAAAACTATGAATAATTGAGTTTTAGAATGTTATTTTAGTGTAAAATCGAGTATATGATGATGAGTTTTCGTAGCATAGGCTCTGGTGTGAAATAACTTTTAAAAAAAGTGAGTTTTGGGGTTCGGAACTGTGTGAGTCGACCGTTAGAACCCCTGGGTCGACATGAGGTCACCCGAATATAATATTATGGAAATTTGAACAGTATGAGTTAACTCATAGGCCTTTCATCGACCTAAGTACCCTGCGCGTCGACCTTGGGGTCGACTCATAGGCAGAAAAACGCCAGAACCAGTTTCGATGATAACTTTTTAAGCGTTAATCCAAATGGAAAACCGTTCGAAGTGTTGGAAAGCTAATGAGAAGAAATTTGACATGGTATAATTATATGAATCATTTTCCTAATATTTCTATGTCTAATATCTTGAAGAATGTGATTATTGCTTATTGTGTACCTTAAGAAGTCGTGTTGTAAGCGACGAATCTTGAGTGTTATTGCAAAGATGTTTTAATGATGTTGTTGTGATGTTAATGATGGTAATATGAAGATGTTTTAATGATGTTGTTGTGATGTTAATGATGGTAATATGAAGATGTTTTAATGATGTTGTTGTGATGTTAATGATGGTAATAAGGGTATGTTTTAATAATGTTGTTGTGATGTTAATGATGGTAATACGAAGATGTTTTAATGGTGTTGTTGTGATGTTAATGATGGTAATATGAAGATGTTTTAATGATGTTGTTGTGATTGCGTAATATATATACATATATATATATATATATATATATATATATATATATATATATATATATATATATATATATATATATATATATATATATATATATATATATATATATATATATATATATATATATATATATATATATATATATATATATATATATATATATATATATATATATATATATATATATATATATATATATATATATATATATATATATATATATATATATATATATATATATATATATATATATATATATATATATATATATATATATATATATATATATATATATATATATATATATATATATATATATATATATATATATATATATATATATATATGTATGTATGTATATATACATATTATATGAAATATATTTTCATGTTTGTTGGCCAATTTGGGCGGTGTACGATAACCATAGTGGTGGATTATTGTGCACGGTGATGTTGTTGTTGTTGTTGTATGCATAAATGGTTGCATTGCATACATTTGTGGAAAAATAGTCTGTTGTTGGTGAGCCTAAATTCCCATTGTATGGATTGGGTGGTAGCTGATTCAGAGGTGATGGATCAGTGAGTGGTTTTGATCCTAGGAGGTGGGGATCAGAATGGTAAACCTGAGTGTTCACGAAAATTGATACCACATGCATATGCATTGAGTCTGGTTGTGAGTCCCATTGCATTATATTTTTAACTATGTGGCTATGTCGCTAATATGTGGTATTGTTGTGATTAATTGAATTTGTTATCATGTGATTTCATGTTGGTGTATGGATAATTGGTGTTGATGTTGTTGGTTGACTAATATGAGTTAAGTAGTTGAATTGTTGTTGTGTTATCTTTATATTTGGATAACTTGGTGTTGGTGCTAGGTGTGTTGTGTTGTAGAATGGGAATTGCACCACAGTGGTTGATGTGTGTGTTTGGAAGTGTTTAACATGTTTTCCTTTATATTATCATGATATCTCATCCCTTCTGTTTGAATATTGCCTCAACACGGGTAATGTGCAGATAATTCGTAGTAGGAGCTCAGATGTGAGTGGAAGATTAAGTTTTCCGTTTATTCTTTTAGTTTGACGTCTGCTCTGATATGTAACATTGGGGTTATGGAACGTTGTGTGATTTTTATCGTTGATGGTTAATTAGAATGTTTTATTTCTTATGACTGCTGTTTTTTATGACATTATTAATTATGTTATGCCTCGAGTTGTTAACTGGAATGATTAAATGTTATTTCTGCTGCTATATGAATTAACCTTCAATTATGTTTTGTTGATAATGTTATTATAAATAATTTTTAAAACAACATGTGTTACATATCTGATTGAATGAGTAAGTGTTTGTTGAAGGTGTGACATTCCTAAATAGGATTTTGTGGATGATTACTTTGATTTAATTTATATTACGCGAAGGATCATTTAAGGTGTTACAATTCGACCCTTAAAAGTCTGTTTACTAGTTGGCTAATGTTCCCCCTATGTGGATTTCATAGATGCCTTATTGAATCTTGATTAATACCAATTTCATTTTGTGCTTGCTAAGGCACATCAACATAAGTGTAGATCTTCCCATCTTGTATGATTTTCCTATGATCAAGGTGTATTTTATTGAATAAATATGAGTATAGAATGATTTAGAATAAGGAGGGAGTTCAATAGACCTTTCACTTCTTAAAAATATTTTTCAAAACAATGTTGAGAGCAAAAGAAAAGGTTTGAAAGCGTTTATAGATAGTATGTGGTGTTAGGTGTGAATATGGAAGTAGAAAAATGGTCTATAGGGGGTGAGTAAAACCTAATTAAAAAATTCAACTGTCGTTTTCCAAATCAGAATGTTTTCAAGAATAGTTGGAGCAGAAGGTTTGATGCGAAAATGAAAATTATACATTTTGAATATTAATCAAGTCAACACGGATCGTTTAACAAATATCAAAGATTAATATGATGAAATGCTTGGTATGTATTGGTTCAGTTGTGTAAGGCACCAGAATTGTTTACACAATGATTCAATAGATGGAGTTCTAAGTTCAATTCATTTCATATTATTAATCAGCAATCTAGCTTAACTAATTATCCGATTCCAACAAAACCTAATGCTTACGTAATAAATCATTATCAGTTATATATATATATATATATATATATATATATATATATATATATATATATATATATATATATATATATATATATATATATATATATATAGAGAGAGAGAGAGAGAGAGAGAGAGAGAGAGAGAGAATTAAATGCGATAGAGAGAGAGAGAGAGAGAGGGAGAGAGAGAGAGATGACACCGAGATTTATAGTGCTTCGGCGTTCGTCCTCTGTTTGTCTACGTCCACTCTTCAATGGTTTCCCATTGTAACCTGCATAATTCCTTGTT